CTGAAACCATTATCAGAATTCTCTTCACTAAGTTGCAATGATTTTAAAATATTCCTGAAAAAAAAAAAAAACTGTTTTTAAGCTACTAATAACTTGAGTAGGTTTCTTAAAAAACAGTAAATACACACACCATGCAGTGAAAAAAGCTGTAATTTAAATAATGAAATCACCGCATGCTTTAAAATTTAAAAAATTAATAAAGGAAACTGCAGATGTCAAATCTCATTAAAGAAATAAACCATCTAATCCTACATGAATGACTGAGCAAACTATCATGTAACAACAAAAATATAAAAAGGGAAAATATTGTCAATCATTACTTTCACGCCTTGTACAATATCCTATTTTCCATACTTATCTATATATATATTTTTTTTTCTTTTTTCTTTTCTTGCATTGATCACACATTCCATGCAAATATTAAAGCAATTTCATCATGAAGCTTCTAATCACAAATTCAAATTTAATCATCAAAATAATTTAGAGTATATTCATGCTCTGAGGAAAATAATTTTAATTCCTTTCAGTCACATATTACATAAACTGCATCCTGAAAGCTTTATTAGTCACAAAATCTGGTAGCAGCATATCCATATGGTTGGGCAATGTCTAGTGTCCTGTAACCTTTTCCTGAGGAACATTTCCCTGCTGCCATCTTCCATATGAAATGATGATTATCTTACTAAAATCAGTTTAAAAACACCATGCTTTTCACAACAACAAATATTCAGGCATTTTTTTTAAACCTCCAACCTTTTTCTTTGGCCCAGAGTCTGTCTTGCTGGCAGATTGGGTACCCTGCAAAAATATGTGGTGCTTAAGGAACAAAGCTCTACTTTTATAACATACAGGATATACTATATAAAAATGCTATTCTTGATTTAACTAAAGATTTTTAAGTCAAGATTTTGAGAAAAAAAGTAAATGTGTGAGTAAAAATCAAACATGATGGTCAATTCAATCTTTTTGGTCTTTTGAAGTAAATCAGTCTTTTAGCTTTAGTCTTGCATATTATCTTTCATGATTAAGATACTGGAAATTGTGGGGATAATATACAAAATAATTGTGTAACGTAAGTAATCAGAATTCTGCATGTCTTACAAAAACAGAAATCTTTCAAGTAAATCACATCGTTACCAACCACTACAGCTCTGTAGTAACTGGTGTTTGTCTTGTGAAAACCTGTTTTCAAGCGTCATTAGCTCATTTACCTCCACAATTTCTCTTTGCTTCAAATTTCTCTCTAATTATGAATATCTTTCTGGTCTTAACAAGTCATACAAAGGCATGCTTTCATTTCTTTATCAGTATTGAACAACACAAGTGATATGCAATTCCTCGAAATCTTGACTCATTGCATTTTACTCTAACCTTAAAAATAAGCACTGACTTTCTGTCTATAGCCCTAATACACTAAAACAGACAACTATATTTTCCAGCCTATCACTCAACCCTTCTATTTAGCACTCTTCCTCTATCTTAAGAAAGGCTTGAATCAATACACATCACAAAAGGTGGGTTTCTATGCACGGTATTTAGGCACCTTATATATATATATATATCTCAAAATCTGCAACTCAAAAAACAACAATGAAACACTCGTTTCTCCTAAAGGCAAAAGACAAAACAAAACATGAACACTGAAAAAAATTGCCTCTTTTGCTTGCTCTACAAAGCAAGACCCTACAGGTGTGCTGTGCCTGAGGGAGGTTGAGGGGCAAGACTGAGGTGTTTCCTTTGAAGCTTTTCCCACAGCGAGTCTCGGGGTCAGAGGTCAGGCAAGGGAAGGAACCTCGCCCTCCCGAACTCTAATATTCGGGTCACTCACTCTCGCACGGTTTTCACACATTACTCGGGAGTTGTAATGGGTCACACGATTCAAGTCTCGACTCAAACGCCATTCACATCTGACGTTAAGGGCTTCCCCTCAAGGGATACGCTACCTGTTAACCGAGGTAATGATGCAATCCTCCTCGACTTTCTACTCAGTCTCTCTCTCTCTCTGTTTCACCGCAGGCTTTGTTTACATGCCGTGACGGGAATAGAAAACGGGGACTACGGAAGATGGGAGGGCAGACTGTTTAATTTCTGTGTTAACGTGTGTGTGTGTGTGTGTGTGTGTGTGTGTGTGTGTGTGTGTGTGTGTGTGTGTGTGTGTGTGTGTGTGTGTGTGTGTGTGTGTGTTGTGTGTGTGTATGTGTGTGTGTGTGTGTGTGTGTGTGTGTTGTGCGTGCCGCGCGCGCGCGCATGCGTGGGTGAGTGCGTGTGTGTTTCTGTCTGTGTTTATTCATGTATGTATGTCTGTGTATGTGCGTATATATGTATGTGTTTATGTATACGTGTGTGTGTGCATATTTATGCGTGTATATATGTACATGTGCGTGTGTGTATATAAGTGCATGTGCGTGTGTATATATATGTTTATGCATGCGTGTGTATGTATGCATGTTTATTTATGCGTGTGCGTATGTACCTGCGTCTGTTTGCATACGTCTGCAAT